ACCAAGATTCAAAAGAAACCGGAATATAGTGTTACCCTGATCCAGGAGGATGTCAAAAAATGTTGGAAAGTCGATGTGAGCTACAAGAAGGCGTGGCACGGGAGGAAAAAATCCATCGACAGTTTGTATGGCACTTGGGAAGAGAACTTCGCACAACTCCCTCAGTAAGAAAAATTTTATTAAAAATGTACGTATTATTTATTTTATCTCACTATGTTTATGTATTGACTATTACGTTTTATAACGTGTAGGTTTTTTGCGGCGCTTCAAATAGCGAATCCCACTACAGTTGTACAGTGGGAATGACAGGGTGGGGATATGGCGGCCCACTATGAGCACAGAGAATTCAAATTTGTTTTTTAGGCTTTTGGTCCCGCCATTCAGACCTTCCAGAGATGCCCGCCAGTAATTAGCATAGACGACACGCATTTGCGTGGCTCGTACAAGGGGAAGTTGCTTGTGGCCGTTGCACAAACTACAAATAAGCGGTTATTGCCAATCGCGTATGCGATTGTGGATGAAGAGAGCAGGGAAAGCTGGTCATTTTTCCTGACCAATCTACGGCAACATGTTGTCGGCGACAGACAGATATGCTTTCTTTCGGACAGGGATGCTGGTTTACAGAGTGCCGTGGATTCATTGGCGGCTTGGCAAGAACCCGCTGCATATCACCGCATCTGTCTTTGACACCTTCGGAGCAACGTTGTTACTAGGTACAGAATAGCAAAATCCGAAATTGGTGTTGGGAGTTGGGTTCACAGCTTTCAGAGGGAAAATTTCAACAGATACGAGAGCGGCTTTCGAATTTTAATCCGGATGCATACAATTACCTGTTCGGAATTCCTCCGAACAAGTGGACCCTGCTTGGAGACGAGGGAGGACGTAGATGGGGTACATTGACGACCAATATGTCCGAGAGTTACAACAACGTCCTGAAAGGTGTTAGGTTCTTGCCCTGCCGAGCTTTGGTACGCGCCACATTCATGAAAACTCTGGACTTGTTTGAGCAGGAACAAAAGAAGTCCACGAGATGCAGTAATGCCATTGCTAGTGCCTACTATGCGGCTTTTTGCGAATTAAAGAGTACGACCGCAAATCATAGGGTGAGATGTGCGAACGCGGCGAGATCTCTATACGAGGTGATAACGGGTCTATGGCCGAGTGGTAGAGGGGACAAAACGTATGTGGTTTATTTATTTATTGTATAATTTTAATTTTTTTAATTTTGTTGATTAAAATTTTTAGTTGTTTATAAATATAATTTAATGTGTAGAAAAACAGGTGTAAGGTTTGGTTCGACGAGAGGCGTTGTCGTTGTCTGAAGTGGCAGACACATAGGAAACCATGCTCTCATGCTATAGTTGTGGGTCGGCAACTTAATACTCCACCGAAGTTATTGTACGACCCCCACTTTTGGACGGAGACCTGGGTTAGCTCAGTTTTCTAATTGGACTTTTGATCCGGTTGGTGATCCAGACACATGGCCGCTGGTCGGATGGACCTTACTACCACATTGGGAGAGGATGATCACGAAGGCTGGACCGGGTCGCGCGCAAACGAGGCGTCATCGCATGCAAATGGATCGTCGGGCACGCCGCCGGAATGATAGAGGACAGTGTAGTAGATGTGGTGATACAGAGCATTTTGTGGATGACTGTCCATCCTCACATCCTCGCACTGATAGATCTAGACGTCATGATGAGTGGGGAAACTAGATTTGTTAGTGTGTATTTTTTTTATGTGGGACTATTTTTTTTTATTGTTTACATTGATTTGTTGGACTATGTTTGGATTATATATTTTTGTTATCTTGGACTGTATATAAGTTGGTTTGTTTGTGTTTTTATTTTCAGGTGGTTGTTCTGAAATTGTGTAACAGGTTGTAACAATTTTGGTGTAACAGGTATAAACCTCTCTGTTGGAATGGAAATGTTTGCTATTTGTTCCAGAAATTTTTTTTTTTTTTT